GCTTTCTTTCTCTTTATTTTTATTATTACTTTTCGGGATAAACTTTTCAAACAAAAAATACACGGAACTACACTAAGTAACTTGGCGGTCGTCCAACTGATTCGGAGAGAGCAGCTTTTGAACAAGGGGGTGACCCGTACATGTACAAATGGAATTATCCAAAAATTAAATTCAAATTTATAATTGCTCGAACAAGCGCACACGTTGACAATTTAAAGAGTACAACGACTCAAGTACGAATTTGAGTATGGTAGCATCATCGACCACTTGGAACGTAATAAATTGGGCCGTTAAAATTGAAGAATTAAAATATGTTTTAATAATGAAAAACGCATGATGCGAGTATAATTAATTTAGTTTTTAAATGGAATTTTAACTACTTATACTTAAGCACATTGAAAATTTTGTTTACCGCGACAAGAGTGATAACATTTTTAATTTTTAATTTTTATTTGCACTTGGTGTTTAGAATATAGATGTAAGTAAACTTGAACGCATGTTAAGAACATATTGAAAATTAAATAATATCAACATAATTTTTGAGTGGGGTATTATATTTACACTATTTACATGACTTGAGGTTACTCCCACTTGGATGTCTTGACTAGTTCACCAACGTTTCGGAACACTTGCACGTTCGATAGAAGATGTTCAGGGCTGTGGTTCGATGTTGCTTGCACCGCGCTCTCCTGCAGACTGACCGATTCGCTTCCGTGGGCGTAGGTTATATACCATACCCCCACCGCATTCTCCGCTTCCTCTTGCCGCTGCCAGCTGTTTTCTACGGCCACGCCCCTTCGCCTTGGCCGGCTACCGCATGACTGATTTCCGTTGTCAAAAGTGTCTTGCTGCCAGCTGTTTTCGTAAAAATAAAAACGTAAATAAACAACAAGGAGCAACAAGGATTATTCAGGAAGAAGAAGATATTAAAGTGCCTTTAATATCTTCTTCTTTGTGCCAGTGGTAATTTCGTTTTTAAGTGGATTGACCGAACGTATAGCACGAGTAACAAAAAAATACAGTAAAGGACTGTTTTCTCAACAGTGAAGAAATTGGAAGAATTTTTCCGGAGTCCAAAAGATGAACTACCGAAACTACAAACACCGGGAGTCTACGAACTTCAGTGTACTTGTGGTCATACATCGGTCAAACAAAACGACCTATTGAAGTACGTGCAAGAGAAAACGAAAAAGATGTGGACTATAAAATAACTGGAAAATCGGCCGTAGCAGAACACGTGGGTCAAGGTCATAGTGTAAACTTTGAAATCAAGGTCCTGTCCCGAGAATCTTATTACTCGAAACGCATGGTGAGGGAAGCCATAGAACTCGAAAAATACCCAACAAACTTCAACCGAGAAGATGGTTGGAAATTGAGCAAAACGTGGAAACCGGTGATACATCAATTAAAAAGAGGACCAAAGGAAACCGGAGACCAAACGGGACGAAGAGAGCCGGAAATACAGCAAGAAACTATTGATAACGAAAACGAAAATCAGTCATGCGGCAGCCAGCCAAGACGAAGGGGCGTGGCCGTAGAAAACAGCTGGCAGCGGCAAGAGGAAGCGGAGAATGCGGTGGGAGTATGGTATATAACCTACGCCCACGGAAGCGAATCGGTCAGTCTGCAGGAGAGCGCGGCACGAGGAACGTCGAACCACAGCCCTGAAGATGGAACGTGCAAGTGTTCCGAAACGTTGTCGAACTAGGCAAGACATCACAGTGGGAGTAACCTCATGTAAATAGTGTAAATATCAACATACATTTTAATGATGACGCTTCTGTGTTTTCACTAAATTTTTTTTAAAATAAATATTTCGATAAGTTTAAGTACCTATTTTATATTATATCAATTATTAAAATATACTTGTAAAATCGACCGTATACTAAATTTCAAGTAAATAACCCCAAATCGTTGGGAGTTTTTGATCGAATTGACAGTCAATTTTGAATTGAAAAATTTGCGTCTAATTTAATGTGTTAAACTATAGTGGTACAACGAAAAAATTCCTATTTGTTCAAATACAAACTTATATATAACAACCCAAATATTTGTTCAAAACCGTTATAATATTATAGTCGTTGTTCCACTCAGTCTATCTAGTACAATGCGACGTGCACTTATTGTTTACATAATTGGTTATGATTAATGTGCACTTGTTTGAAACATACCGGTACGCGAATAAAGAACGTTGCCAATTTTGTCTTACAAAACAGCATAACAAAAGTGTATTAACACAGAACGCCAGTTTCCAATTTTAGTGTACAGAAATGGAAGCGGTGCGTTTTTTGGTAATTTACACTAACGCGTTACTATTCTTAAGTGCTATCTCGGTGGCGAATCGCGTTAACCAGATCAACGAACTACTACTACACCCTAGATGGTCGGATTTACGATTGGGCAACAAAGATGTGGGCATTATCGAGCGATGGATGGACTCTGAAGAGCACTTCGGTGCACACGATTTGCTCGCAGAAGATCCGCCTACACAAATGGTAACCGAAGAAAACGCAGAGACAAAAATTCGACAAGCTCAGCTGTTCTTGAGTTGTCATTATGCCGAAGTGGTGAAAAAGTTCAGCGACCTCCAGAGGGGCGTAGTGTCCCTGTGCAGGAGAATGACCGAACCTTACGAATCCTTGCAGTGTCTGAACGAGTTCATCGAGGTAATCAAGGACAACGATACCATCGTGTTGCACATGCAAGCTTCACTTTTGTGGTTTGATCAGTTGTCGCCAACGACTCGGTTCCTTAAGGACGTATCCGAAGTCCTAGCCGACTTCAAGAGTTTCTACGACAACAAGACCGTCGACAGTAGCCTGTTGGGAAGACGTGTATCCGACAACGCTGTTTTATCAACCGTCCATGCCGAATGCACGGCCATCGAACAATACATGTCTACAATGGTGCAACGCTTGAGTGCATTTTACTACAGTTTTTGTAGGCCAATTGCGTTCCGCGAACGGGTACAAGGTATTTCGGACGCCACGGCATACGTCCAACATACAACCGAAAATGAAAAGTACGCCAAATTTGTATCGTACAGGATAGTGAATAATGCAAAAGAAGTAATTAATACGTTCTTGGAGTCGGACTTCGAGGATTTCGGCTTCAGATACGATCGGTCGTCCAATGTTGCGCAAGTAGTAAGTTACGACCCGAACCAGATGCGGCGCGTTAAACAAATGAACATGCTTTTATCGCACGACGGATGGAAATCGATGGGTAAAGATGGAGAAGAAATAAATGTTATAAATAAATCAGAAGATCACATCATAACACGTGTGGACGAACTGCTCAGGTTCGGCGGTGGCCGGAAGAGGAGTGACCAAAGACAATGTAAATACCAAAATTATACTAGCCCATCATTTTTTGAGCTGTAAATACGCCACGGTGTTGAAGGAGTGTTGCGATTTCATCTTGGCAATATTGAATCAGAGCGAGTCTGAATTATCCGACACTATCCATCGACTTCCTGAAACAATGGAAAATGTCAATTCACTGGTAATGCGCTTGCGCGGTGCACTATCGTATGTTTACCAAATGTCCCCACCCGACATTGAATACAACTTAGCAATATCTCACTTCCTGGAAGACTTTAAGGGCTTCTGCGACAGAACCACTTTTGAGGAATGCGCAAGTGATGACAATCTTATTATCAGAGAAAACATAAGAGATGTTGTAGGATTTGTGAAAATCTACTTTGGTCAATCTTGCGATCCGTACGATTACCATATGGAACGTATAAGTCCATCGCTTATAGATGCGTACGGGAACAATGCAATTGAAAAATTCCAACTAAAAATAAACGAATTAAAAAAATCCGCCTTCAGCGAGTTTGGGTTCGTGTACGATCCGGTATTAAACATCATCAGGTTAATTTAAACAATTACTAAACCATACTTAATGTCTGAGTTTAACCAATAATATACAGTAATAATAATGATTTTATTAATTTTAGACTAAAACATAATGTTGGTATCTTATATTCACATATTTGTACTACATTCTTATAAACAATACATTGCACGTAAGAGTAAAGTGATCGTTATATTATTTCTTTTTTAGTCTGTTGTTTCACTGTTCGTGCAAAACACTAGTAACAGTTGGGGAACAAGTTTTTTTTTTGAAAAATACTAAACCTAACGGAGCTTTAGAAAAACAACTATCCACTTAATTGTTGTGTTTAACTTAAGTCAGAAAACAAAATCTAGAAGAAAATTTCCCATTTGTTCTTACATCAAAAATGTAAAAACCCACATTATTTGTTCAAAACCGTTGAAATATTATGGTCTTAGCTCCGTTACATGAAGCTAAAACTATACTAAACCCTACTTAATGCCTATTATTTTAGGCTATAACATAAAATTGGCAATTTGTATTCATCTATTTGTATTACACTTATAAGCTAGAAACAATATATTATTATGTATGGGTAAAGTTACCGTTATATTTTTTTTCTTTTAGTCTATTGTTTCACTGTTCGTGCAAAACACTAGTAACAGTTGGGCAACAGGTGTTTTTTGAAAACTAGTAAACTTAAGAGATCTTTTGAAAACCCAATCCGTTAGGAAAATCCGCCCAATTATTATAATTGTTTTACACTTTTTACCGCACAAACAATTCAACGAGTTACTTGTAAAATATTTTAATAGAACTATGATAAAAATAATATGCGTGGCCAGTAATTGCATCGCTAATATTGAGAATGGAGGATGAGACAAACGACTAAAGGATGTTTTTTAACGGCTGGTGTGGACTGGAACAGAGGGGCTGGTTTATCACAAAAATAAAAACACATCGTCGCAGGTAAATACAATCACGTATCCGACAGTGATAAAGACTAAGGGGTTGTATAGGCAACAATCAATGAACCATAGTGCTATGTCGCCAACGAAAATTCAACGGAGCTTCCCGTGTGTTTTAATCAGCTAGAGCACATGTTTGGTTTTAAGCACAAAGTCTCAATTTAATGAAAGCATATTAAATAATACAATATCGAACCTTATCTGCAGTTACGGTGCCGTTTGGCCGTTTGATATACCTACAAATACAGTTGGCGACGGACCAATATGTTAGGTATACTCTTTTCACCGACGTGACGTTTGTTCGACAGCTTTCCATGCTTATTATCAAGGTATGTAAAACTATATTAAAAAATATAAAATATCAATGTAATAGTTTATTTATACCCAAAGGGCCAATGAGTATAGTTATTAAAGTCTTACAAAAGATTATACAGCAACAACTTAGGTATTAGATAATATACAAATAAAATATACAAATAGAGAGAATAAAAATAAATATATATATCTATATAACAAATACATGTAAGGCTTTAAGTGCCATTTTTCAGCCAAAAAATGTGTATGTTCCAACGCCAATGTAACGCAATAAGGCAGAAATTTCCATTTCTTACAACCTTTTTTGATTCCACTCAATGATTCCATACACGCATCTAAAATGCGATACACCGGACTATATTTAGATTATATAATAATATGTAATAATAATTATAATACTGATATAATAATGAATGTTTTCAACAGAAGCACATTAGACAACAAAATGCAATAATGCAATAAAACTGACTAAGTCTAAAATTTGAGAAAATGAGTTTATGTCATATCTAGATTAAAAAAACTTTTACTGTGTTAAGGGTAAAACGATATAAGTCAACTAACGATTTTAAATAGGTCGAATAGTTTAAGTTGGCATAATTAAATTAAATCAATTAATTTTTTGAATACTATTCTATCGTTCGTATTTCTATTGTATAATAATTTGTTGTTTTTCAAAGTTTATGGAAAAAATTAATCCGCGTTTCAAATAATAACAAAAAAAAAAAATGATTTGCTTTTGAGTTTTTATTTTTGAACACTGAAAATTCCAAAATTTTAGACTTGGCCAGTTTTCCATGAGCACCATCGCGCGATGAATTAACCATAATATTGTAATATTACATTAATATGAACAATACTAATACTAGTAATGATGAATGTTTTCAACAGAAGTACATAAGACGTTTACGATGAGTGGCCAAATAGTGTTCTCACACAACATCGGACATCCGATAGCCGATTTAGCACTGTACAGGGAAATAATCGACGGTATAAGATCTAATGGACATTTCGACGTGGTGCACGAACCGATAACAACTTGGAAGAACACAACGATCGTGGAACGTTTCAACAACGACAAATGGGTTAGCCAGAACGACGTCGATTATGCGTTCGGAATAGAATTGAAAAAATCCAAATATCATTCCTCTTTGGGGGCCAGGCATTGTTTTGTGTTGTTTCCAAAAAATCCAAACACCCATCGAGTGATCAGCGTGTTACACGCTAAAGGACTCAACTGCGACACCGTGGACTTTGCCGAGGAACTAGAGAAATTTCAAAAAGCTTTTCCCGAGACGTTCAGTTTGGTCAGGCCTGACGATGCAACGAGGTACGGCCAATATTATCTCTCCGAGGATGACTACTACTCGGACAACAATAATTTCGACAGTCCTGTTGGATTCGCCTCGTGCAGCTTAAGCGATTGACGGTAATATTTTGGTAAACCAAATACATATTGTACCTATAGGTGGTACTCGTCATTTGACTTGACTCAAATATACATACTATAACACTATATGTCGGCTGTTTGACATATTTTACTTCATTCCAATGTATACTATGCCAATGAATAAAATTGGTTTTTGTTTCTCTTTACAATTATTTAATTTAACAAAATGTCTAAATTCCTTTCAACGCTGTCAACGTGGCCTTTTGAGAGTCAGCTGTGCATAATTCTTTATTTAACTAAAAAGCTTTTGTTACGGATAATATTACCGTTACTACACCATTCCTCTCGTCTAGACTCTAAAAAGCTTTTAACGTTAGATATAATTATTGTTTGAAACGTGCATTAGTTAATCATTTTATCAGGGCATTCTCGAATTAGTAACAAAATTAAATATTACATAAAGTTCAAAAGTTAACGAGACGACATTATAATACATTTAAGGCGAGCAAGTCACTTTTAATACACCGATCAGCAACGAGAGGAGACATTGCCGTTCATTAATCATATGTAAAACATTGCCAACTCTAAACATGTTGTATACAGTATTTTAATGTTAACGTTACTATCGTAGGCCAGTAGGTTTGTTTAATGGATAAATTAAAAAGTATTCAAATACCGATTAAGAACGCAAACGCGCATAATCGTTTCTTGCTTTATTATTTTAACCGACCAGAGTAAAAATTATTATTAACGTTGCATTATGTCGTTATAACATTTTAAGAAGAATATTAAAGCGGACTAATAAACCACCCGAATAAGTATACAAGAGAATATTCGCTTATGTCGTCCAATTCAGTTATTATAGTCCTAATAAAAAATTAATGTTATGTAAATGTAACGGACGGGTTAATATAGAAATAACTGTTTCATTTAAAAAAAATAAAAATCAATCGAACATAATAACGATTAAACGGTATCAAAATAATACGACCTTTGATTTTTTGCCATCAAAAAATATGGACAACTCGCTCGAAGACAATGCGATTTAATAATAGCATCAACAAGCAAAATGGGTGTTGTATTCAATAGAGTCACAATATCGATTAACCTTTGGACTGGACTTTGTGTTTAACTAAATAAGAGTAGTATTAACATTTGTGATAGAATACACATACTACGACCAGAGTATGATGTAAGTAGTGCATTATAAGAATGCATATGTTTATTCTGTATATGCATTCTAGTGAAAACATATTATGACAATTAATTTACTTATTGAAATAGTTATAACAGAAAAACGACAATTTAAATAAAACGTTTCCACTGCGCAGTTTGACAAATAATAAGCTCAAATTTGTTGGCATAAGAAGACAACCCACTTGAAGACAATACCATTTTAATGGCGTCAACAAGCCGAACAGGTGTAAAGAGGAAATGTTTAATTTTATAACACACAAATAATTTAATACAACACGGCCTTAAGCTCAAATATATTATTATTGTTGTGTTTAATAGTCAAAATATTGACTAACCTTTGGGCTAGAAGTTTTATTTATACATTTTAGATTGATCTAGATCAAACATTGGCCGACACTATTAATCGAAGCCCGTTCGTTTGAAAAGTAATAAAAAAAAAATTATTTGTATAATACCTAACATATTGTTAATGTGAAAAAAAATTATAGTTGAGATTATGTTAGATACTCTTTACTATAATTATTATTTGTCCAATAGCGTATGTCAATCTTTCATACTATTGCAACAATAATAATATGTTTTTCTTATTTCTAATTTAATTTTAGTTACCTATATCTTATGATAAGTCAACGGTAAATAGGTACAAACAGTTATTATACACAATGTTATTATTTGTCGAGTGACGCATGTCAAACTTTCACATACTATTACAATCATATGCTGTGTTTATTTCAGTTGTACGTTTAGTATATAATGTATACTAGACTAACATATTATATAATATAGTATGCTGTATGACAATACATTTACTTATTGAAATAATAATTGTTATAACGCATAATATCAACACACAAACAATAATTCAAATGTAACGCCGAATACCTGCCTATATAATTAACTAAAAATAGAAAGTTTTCGTGTAGACGCTTTGATTTAACTTTTGACGTCCAATTAGTTGTAATAAAAATTAGCCGTTATTTCTCATTTGTGTTTTATTATTTCAATTTTGTCGCATCATAGCTTTTTCCAAAAGGACTTAATACAGAATAATTTATATTCCGCCTGTTAATTTTATAGCGAAACAGTAAATTTATGCCATTTTTAGATACATTTTTTTTTTTTTTTTGAAAATTATGATAGGTGATTTTAGTCTTTTATTAAGAATTCGCATAGTTTGTTTGTGATTGCAACGGTCTAACGGTTAATTAATAATTAAAAACAAAATAATAAATGGTTATGATAAAACAAACATTATACACTTTTACGGGGTCGCAGTGCGAAATCATATCATAAAACTGTTCGTTAAAATTTAATTGGCATTTCGAAATATTATGTAGAATATAAAAAACCAAACGCTGTTATAACAATAAAACAACAAAATATTATTATTACATCGTTATTATACCTTGCTATCGGCCTAAAATATCTAAATCTAACGAATTCAAATAATTTATGTGTGCATCCAAATGGAAATTAAAATTGTAGCAGGTATATGAAGATGCGGATATTTCAATTTCATACAAGTTTTTAGCTGACCAAACGTTTGCAGGACTTGGGCGAGAATGCATGCAGCAAACCGTTCATGACATCAAGCGCCACAATCTATGTTTGTGTAATGGTATCCTAACGTTATCTCCGTTATTCCTTGGCACTTTATTTTTGGTTTTTTCTAAAACTGAAATATTTTACATTTTTTTTGCTCCCTTAATTGCATATATACCCATATCGCATGTTACACTTAAGTTGCCGGAAAACTTTTTTAATTAAACGCTTTTTTTGCAAACAACATAAATGTGTACTGCGAACCTAACATTTTTTGTACTTACATATAATTTATTACAGTAACAGAGCTTATATTATTATTATGAAAACGCGAGTAGAAAAAATTAAAAAAAAAAAAGAAAGAACGTACACTCCAAATGACTATATCGAACAGTTCACTTGAACTAAATAGATTAAACGAACTGATACGAAAAGTGAACTTGCCACTTTTGATCGAGTAAGTAATAATAATAGGCGACTAGAAGGTTTAAACGAAATTATAACGACAACCTAGTCGTTCGTTACCAGAAAAAGGTCTACTTATGTTTTAACGGCTTTTATCGTGAAACATAATATCTGTTACACGACCGCCATAACAATAACGTGCAATTTAATATGTTTGTGAAAAAAATTAAAGTTTATAATTACATATTATGTAGCCCTTTTTAGCCAATGAGGATTGATGATGAAAATTCTCAAAATATTCACATCAGTCTTACTTTAGTCGGATCACCCTCCATATATGACTCATCACGTCAGTGTATTTCATATTTTTGATATTTTTTTCCTTCCAAAATTTCCTCCCCCCTCCACCGTGTTTTAGTTTGGCAATCTTCGTTAACTATGCGTGTAGTTATATATATATATAGTTAGTTACCTTTCGTCAAATCAGCACGATGCAAACAATACTATATTATTATATTCGTGGAACGACCCTGCTTTTGGGGCTGTAAATAATTACCGAACAGTGTAACGACGGTTCGGGTGGGTGGGTGGGTTGTGTGTACAACAGTGGTGTAATATACTTGAAAGGGTGGTGATAGTAGTGCAGTAGCTGTTGTGTGTATACCTATATTGTGTTTGTATGCAACTCGGAAGCCCCTGACGGAATGGCTAAAAAAACAAACAGAGAGAAGCCGGCGAATGTTTGTGGCACGATTTATTATACACGCACAAATACAAAAAAAAAACGCAACTCAGTATAAAGTCCGGTATTTATATATTTGATTTTCAACACAAAACAAACAAAATCTAAAAAATTGAATAAAAAAAAAACGTTTATTGGTCAGTTTTTTTCATGAATTTGCGGTAAGCGTTCGTGTACACACAGTTATTCAAATTTCCCGTCACGGTATTTATTTATTTTTTTTTTTATAAAATAATTGCTTAAGCTGATGAAAAAAAGTTTCAAATAAAATCCTTCAATTTTAAACGATTAAAAAATTGAATTTCCTATACGGATGGATATTATTATTGATTAAATTTGTCTTTAAAATAAAAATACAGCAACATATCTATTACAGTTACCACAATGAAAATTGAATAACTCAAAAAGTATTTATTCAAAACCTGTTATCGACCAGACATTGTTTGCATTGCATCATTGTGCTGTAGGTACTTAAACTATGTATGTTGCTGATTGACTTTTAACAAATATCCTTTTAAAATAATATTTATGCACTAAAAAATTAAATCTAATTTTATATCGTTATAACATATAATAAGGATTTTACTAGCTTCTTATTTTAGCTTACATTATTATTTCAATGAAATTTTATTTTTATTTTTTTTCAATTACATGTTTTGTAATGTATTTTAGTGAAAACATATTATGACAATTTATTTAATTATTACAATAGTTATAACATATTATTATATTAACAGACAAATAATAATAGTTTAAATTTAACGTTTCTACTACAACGTTTGACAAATAATAAGCTCAAATTTGTTGACATAAGTAATGAAAACATCCCACTCGAAGACAACACGATTTGTAATGGCATCAACAAACAACGACGGTTTTGTAATGAAATATACTTAAACGTTTTTGGGTTATAGTTTTGCGTTTGATGACAATTAACCATACCTATTATTATATATATTATCTTCTACAGGGTCGCGCTAAAATCTTGCCATTAAATACGGTTCGTTTCACAAACGTAATGGACCGATCAAAGGGAAATGACTATTAATATTTCGTCGTTAAACAGGTAGAAGACACTTAACGTTTGAGCAGGTTCGTTAAACGTTCCACAAACGTTCTGGTGCAGCCCTCCCTGGCAATGGAGCTGCAATGATGATATGGGCAACATTAAAACAAACTCGGCCATTATTAATTCACTACCTCCGGATGATAATATAACCGCAAATTCACCTGTTTCTATTATATATATATAAATATAGGTGGTAGGCACTATACCTACACTGATCCATTATCGAGATTTATAAGCCCTATATATATATATATATA